GCAAATGAGATTTCGTTTGTGATTTCAAATAATTGTGAACACTTATTTATGTTGATGGTTAATATGAATCATATAATTTATCAGATAATATTGCTTTATTGATGCTCATTTATTTGAAGAGAAGTATTTGATGAGTTCTTTTCGGTAACCGTATTTCTGAGTTAGTAAACTTACTGATGTGGTAAAATCATATTGTTTATATCACTGCTTGTGGTAATATCACCTGATATTGTTGGTGATTGTTTGCGAATTTTTTGAATCGCTCATCTGAGTTTTTCCATCCATTAGCGAGTGCAAATCATTGTTCGATAAGCGACTTAATGGAGTATAAACATTTACAGAGAGTATTCATCACTTCTATTGGCTGAAAAATGTTCAATATAATGAAATTTTTCAGCAGGGCCATAAAATCACCCGGTGAGTTGAGATGACAAGATTAATTTCTCGTGATGTTATTGTTTTACGCGGAGGCAAACATGTGCTTAGAGACTTTTTATATCAGCTGGTTTNTTCAAGAAATGTACATCAATTACTTATACGTTCATGGGCAATTGCATTGAAGTTTTAGGATTGTAGATGGTTAAGATTCAGTGTGCGTGAAAGCCTGAAATAATATTTTTATTTCTGATTTTACTGTGAACGATGAGCGGATAAACAAAAGGCATGATGAAGCATTTGATGAGTTCAGAATCATTAAAGCTTGGGAAACAAAATTATGCAAATGTTCAGCACGCATTAGGGTCACTGAGTTCTGGGGGATGCTTGCAAAATGTGGTGTAAAGCATTTAGAAGGTTGAAAGATTAACTGAATTAAAGATAATTTATGCGACTAATAAGCATCAACCGAATCATTTCAGAAGATCATCCCAATGATCCGAATGATGGTGCGACCGATCAGCCGACATCTCATTCGCTTTCCGAGATGGACATCAGTATGGATGCGCAGTCGTCGGAAGGCACAGAGCCGAAAGCTGACACAGCTCCTGAGCTAGTATTCGAACTAGGAAAGGAGCCAAGTGAGGATCATGAACAGCCAGAAGCTGAAGCAAAATTGGTTGAGGCTGTAGCAGAAGAGCCAACATTTCATGAAGCCAAAGAAGCGGGTCAATTAACACAAATTGGTGGCAGTACCTACGAGACACCCGTCAAGAAAACTGCAGCACCGATGTGAGTGTTTCTTTCAAATTTGATTTCACATGGAATTCTCGATTTTTTGAAACATTCTTCGCGATCTTAGTAATGTTCTCCATTCGGCTAGAGTTGAAAA